AGTAAATGTTGGCCTCTGTGTATGCTAGGAATAAAGGAATTCAGAGAAAGACATCCAGTTAACTACACTACCAAAGTTGGAACTGTTGGAATTCCAAGACGAGGCAGTGGTCAAAAGTTTTTGCTCAGCCTGGAAAGTCTCTGGAAGTGTGTGGCTATAACAGCTGACTGCAAGTTGCATGGTCCCATCACCGTGGGGCTCCTGTGGGGAAAGCCAGGCCCCTCCAGCAGACTGATGGTGCTGTTTGAACCCTGCCAATTCGGCTCCCGGCTTCCCCTGCCCCTTGACCTCAAGCTTTAATGTAGGGAGAGGCTGCCTCTGCCAGACAGGGGTTCCCCTTCAGGTAGGAGAAGTGGGGGTGACCAGATGGTTGGAGGGGTAGTGATGAGTAGAGTCACAAGAAAGAGAGCCTGTGGCCAGATGGGTGGGGCCAAAGCCTCATAGGCCAAGCCGTCCAAACACACCTTGCTGAGGGCAGCTCTTCTTTGCTCCAGTGGGTGTGACAGTTGGCAATGCGCCTAAGAACTGTGGACACCCTGGCTCCTTAGCAGGCATCAGAGAAATTAAGGATAGGGATGGGGATTCTGACAGCTGCCCCTCAACAATGGATTTAAAAACGGCCTCCTAACTCCCAACCCTTCCCCACGTCCGCCATTGGAGTGATGCTCCCCCAGCAGCATTCACTGAAGGCCCACTGTGTGCAAAGGCCTGTGGGAATCAGTGGCAGGTTAAATGGAAAACTGAAGACAGGTTTCCACCTTGGCCGTGGAGGCCTCCTTTTGATCCACAGCACAAGCCAGCGAGGGAGGAAGTCACGAGGACGCATTGGCTCCAGACTGGCCCATGAGTGCTTCCGAAGCAAAGAGGATGGAGCCTGGATGTGGTCATCCTGCACCGCCACCAGCAGCAATTCCTCAGGGCTCACTGACTTGAAGGGCACTGGCAGGCCAGGTGGTGGGCAGGGATCCATTTGGTTTTAGCGGAAAAACAACCACAGATCCTATTTCAAGGCTTTGAGTCTCTCCACCCCCTCCTTCCAGTCTTTTCTAAATAGCTGCAAGAACTGGAGCCCCCTAGAGGGGAAGTGGCCACAGGCCCCCACAGTGCCCCACAGGAATCTTGCCAAGCCCCCCACCCAGCTCCTGCTGTCTGTGCCAAGGGGGCAGCCCTGGCTTTCCTCGGTGCAGGGAGACGGAGGAATCTGAGAGAGTCTCCAGGCCCAGTGAGGACCAAGCCTGGGTGACTCTGACACCAAGGACAAAACCTGCAAGATCCACGCTGGGAATTCAACCAAGAAGAAGAAAAAGAACAAACAAGATCAATTCTCCACCCACAGGAACCAGAATTTTTGTAAGCCAAAGCCACCAACGTCCAGAGACATCTTTATCCTGTGCAGGTCCCGCTCAGGAGCCCTCTTCTTTTCTCCCTTCTGGCAAAAAGAGAGAAGCCCCTGTCCAGTCCCACGGAAACCCCTCTGAGGCATCAGTAACAAATGATTTATGAATTCCCTCTCCCAGGGGGGGTTAGTTTCAAAACTTGGTGTGGGTTAGGGAGTTAGGGTGGGAAGAACCTTTAAGACTGACAGGTCTTAAGAGACTAAAAGTCACGAACCTCTCAGATAATGCCCTCTCCAGCCATGGGCGCTGGGTCCGAAGAGTGGGGAAGGGAGGCATGTTCAGACTGGGGACCATGCCTGAGACCGAAAGTGTCACCTGCACTTTTAATTGCAGGCTCCCTACCACCCTCAGGTTACTTGTTCCACCAGTAGTGGCATCACAAGCAGCCATTCGGTTGCCACCTGCTGCCATACTGACCCGGGGGTCCTCAGGGCTTTATCCGAAGCTAGGTTCAGGCATCAAAGCTCCCATGGCTGGAGCCACCGCAGGCACTCCCAGTTCAGCAGAAGGCAGCCAAAGCTAATAGAGGAAGACGTATTTTAGAGGCCACGCCCCAAAGCTGGCACCCTTTAACTACAGATCCAGCTCCAACCCAGGCCAAGACAAAAATTTGCATTATTTTGCATTTTAAGCAATTGACTCTTCTTGCAAAGACGACTGATTGATGAGTAGCAATTAACAACGAAGTCGTCAGTTGTAAATTGCCAATAATTGCCGTCATTTCAACGGTGGGTTTTTTTCTTCTTCATTTTCTTCTCTCTGCTCTCCGTCTCTGTTTTTAAATCAACATATATTGATTGACCTTCTTTAGAGAAGATGTGGGCTAGGAGCCCTGGGGCATCAAAAGATACACCAGCCAAGTGTTTGCATCTGAGATATTCGTAGGCTGGCTAGGGTAGTAACATGGTACCACAGGAAAAAACCACACACGTCAAAAGAGCAATAGTGATGAACGCCGGCTTTGCAAAGGCGAAAGTTACTTTGGACGTTCAGGGAGTTTGGTTTTAAGTTGCTTGAAGATTAGAAACTATTTCTATTTCCAATGAGGTGCTTTCCTTTACATCAGTGGTTTCCAAACTTGAAGTCTATGAATTTGTCACAAGTTCAATGAAAAGAGTGTTCTATGGCCAGAAACATTCAGGAGACACGCAGGTTTCTTTTTTTTTTTATTGAGATGTGAAGGACATATAACACTGTGTGAGTTCAAAGTATACAACGTGGGCAGGTGTCTTTATTGTAGAGGCTTCAAGAGCCGAAGGGCACTAGGAATCAGTTCAAGACAGTGTATGCAGCAGGTCCCAGATTTGACCTTGATTTGTCCTTCCTCCACGCCCCTTTTCCCACAAACAATACGCATTAGCATCTTTCTAGACACTGCGACTCCAGAGAGAAATGTTCTAATTCTGCTGAGAAGGCGAAAAAAGAGAGCACTCAAGCCCCATTCTCTTCAGGAAGCTTCTCCCAAAAGTGCAGCCCATACTGATCCCTCTTCCCTCACATCTCCAAAAGCACTTTGGTGTCACTGATTTAGAACCCGACCTTCGTCTGTCTCCTGTCCTTATCTCACACCACCCAGCTTGTGCAGAACATACAGCAAGTGCTCACTAATGACGAATTACCTGGTTCTCAAATATGCTCCAACGTCGTGGATAAGAGCAGACCCCGGACTCAGGAGGCCAGAGTTCAAATACTGGCTCTGGCTTATTGACTGTGTGACCTTGGGAAAGTTACTTAACCTCTCTAGACTTTCCTTTCTTCAGCTGTATCTCACAAGGTTGCTGTGAGCATTAAACCAAAGTGCCCAGCATATAGTTGAATTTAATAGATGTTAGCTATTTGTATTACTAGTCCTAAATTTGTTGTACACTTAGTGAAGGAGAGAGCATGGCCAGTGCATGGAGAGCCAGAGTTCAAGGGCAGCCCATAACGCTGGCCCAAAACACAGGGATGTTGTTTGTTTATCTCTTCTACAATCTCGATGTACTTTAAAATCTCAACTTATCAGTTTTCACAGGAGTTCCTCGACATAGGTTGGAATCCAATATAATCACCCTAGGGAGGGGTTAATGACCTGCTCAAGGTTACTTGCCAGGGTCAGCCACAGGCTGAAAATAGCAATTGGCTCCATGGTCACCTCTTTGTCTCTGTGGCTTCCTCCCCCTGTGGTTTTGGCAAGGATGACACACCCAGGAGTGAGGCAGCCACTGGAGTGAAGGTCAGAGAACAGCATCCGTGCTTACACAGCCTCAGGGATGCTTTTGTTCCTTTGTCCTCCCACAAGCAGGCTGATGCATCCAGCAGCCTCCTGTCCCTCTCTAAGCACCCAGAATAGCATTCCCTGACCTCCATTCACCAGGCTATGCTGGTGAGAGGCAGAGAGGATGCACTGGGGATGCCAGGTGGAAGGGCTTGCGAGCGCCAGGTGGCTCCCTGACCTCAGACCTTTAGCATCACACATGCTTCTCGTCACCTTGGCTGCCTTCTGCCATCGCTGCAGTCACACCGGCTCCTCGGAAGGAACCCGCAATTCCCTTGCTGCTTCCATAAGCAGGAAAAGTTCTCTGCAGCCAGTCCCCGGCTCAAGCATCCAGGCACCGAGCTGGCAACATCCTTATTTACGACTGCAAAAGCGGTCAAGCACAGAATAAAGCAGAAGAGAAAACCATGTAACAAAGTCGCTGAGAAACCTCATCCTGGGTTTGTGTGTGTGTGTGTGTGTGTGTGTGTTCTCAAACTCCTCTCTGCCCTGGCTCTCTGGTTACTCAGAGCTCCTTGCTTTTACAGTTACAACACTTAATAATTTACAGTGACATACTGCATTCGGAGTCTCCCGTGACCACCCAAATTGTTACTACCCGGGGAGTTTACTGCCTGAGTCATTCGAACAGAACAGGCAAAGGAGCCATAAGTTGACCGGTTAGGGACAGTGACCAAAGTTGGGGCTCCCGACCTCACCAAGAGTTGGGAGAAGTGGTCTGAGGAGGTGATAGAGGACGATGGAAGAATCTAGTTTGCCTTACTCCCGGTGGGTAGTGATATGGAAGCAGGTGGGAGGCATGTCAGGAAAGTGAGAAAGTAGAAACAATGAATTCCTGACCCAGCTGTCGGGCAACCTCTCTTGTCACAACACATACCTGGAGTGACTACTGATAACCTGAATGTTCTGCTCGTGGCGAGAAGCATGTGTAAAGAGATCCGATCATAGCGGAGTCTAGCCTAGACTGAGCTGCTAGCACTGGGGATTCTGTTCTTGACCACCCACATATGATCCCGGGGGCCACTAGCCAGTCATTTCCTTCATACAAACCTTTTGTTCAGGCTTTCTGCTTGTTAGGCTTTATCTCTGTTCTTTATTGCTCTTTTTTTGAAATTATTTTTTTTGAAGATTAGCCCTGAGCTAACATCTGCTGCCAATCCTCCTCTTTTTGCTGAGGAAGACTGGCCCTGAGCTAACATCCATGCCCACCTCCCTCTCCTTTATATGTGGGACGCCTACCACAGCATGGCTTGCCAAGCAGTGCGTAGGTCCACACCCGGGACCTGAACTGGCAAACCCTGGGCCACCAAAGCAGAACATGCGCACTTAACCACTGTGCCACCAGGCTGGCCCCCTTTATTGCTCTTTATAGAGCATACCAAGATATATCTTCCTCTGGGTCTCTGCCCTTTAATAGTTTACAAAATATGGCAGAATAGATAAGACATGTTCCCAGTGCAGCTTTGGAGAGGGAATGTGCCGGAATGCTGTTCTGGAAACATTTTCTCAAAGATAGGTATGCCTACGAGAGTGTTCCAAAATCTCATTTTTAACACTGATAGTTAATATTCATATCAAATAGTAAAAGCTGTTTATTTGCATTTTAGATGCATTCCAAATACCTTCCCATATTCCTCATTTCAGCCAGTTATAGATACCATCAATATAAAACACATTTTTATTTTTGTGTATCACCAAGAAAGAAAAAACTTCATTGATTGTACAACGCACCCTAATTTCAGAGATATCAAAATGAGAAAAAAATGTGCATCTTGGAATTGATACAATATTGCACTTAGAGGAATCTTATTTTCCTCAGGTTCTTGCCATAAGTTGGAGGACAGCACCTGACCCTCTCTGCAAGGCTGATGTGAGGCCAGCCTGCTCTGTAGCTGATGTCATAGGAGAAAAACCAGGAGAAAGGAAAGGAAGAGAGAAAGATAGATGCACTGTTTATATGGATGAGGAACCATATGGATGAATGTGTCTAGTCATCCCACCTCTGCTTCCCGGGTCTGCCAAACAATTGAGCTCAGTATTAACGGAAAGGGAGCTGGGGAGGCAGAAGGGAGGTGCCTTCTAGATCTGTTTTGTTCAAAAAGAGCGTTGCCTACACCTGTGGGCTGTGCCGCGGGATTGGTTCCGGAAGTAGAGCTGGATGAAGACTTTATGGGGAGGGCATTGGACCTGAGCTTGAAGGTAACAGCATCTCAGAACTGAACTTGCAGGAAGACATGAAAACCCGCAGCATGACCGGGTGGCGGGGCCGCCTCTTTAGTGCGAGCACACGGAGGGTGACAAAGCTGGAGAGAGACGTAGGCGGCAGACTTCGAGGTGGTACACCAATTGTTCCGGATTTTGGATCTTCTTAGGCTGGCAGTGGGCCACCATAAGGTTTTTGAGCTTGGGAAAAATTGATGTAAAACAACATTTCAAGGGGGAAGAAAAACAGCTTTTCAGAAAAAAAAGTCCCCAACTGAATTCCAAGAAGATAAGTTGGCAGTTCTGTGTATGGTGAACTCAGTGGGAAGAGGTAAAAGTTGAAAAGACTAATGAAAATAAAAACTAACATTTACTGAGTGCACTACTGACAGAAACAGGAAATGAAAAGAAAGAGCTGTTGGAGACAGCAGTAGTAGAGACCACCGACTTGAGGGATGAAGTTGAGGTAGAAGAATTAGCCATAAGTGGGTGGAGACCCAGAAACAAAGCCCGAGAGAAAGGATAGAGCGTCAGATTTGGGAATCGTTTCCATAGAGGGGAAGGTTCAGTCGAGGGATTCTGGAGTCCTGGGAAAAGATGAGATTTCGAGAGGAGGAACTTTAGGGCCCCACTCAAGAAACTGTTTTTTAAATTACAAAATATTTGAAATACACAGAGTAATACAGAGACAATATAATAAACACCCTGTACCTACCACCCAGATATTCAAATGTCACTCTTTCGATCTATTTGCTTCAGACTCTATTTTTACATTTTTTCCTAAAGAAAAAACAAACATTACAGGTACAGCTGAGGTCATCCCCATTCCCTTCTCTCCTTCCTGGAGATAAGCACTATTCTCCTATTGCTTTGTGGCCTAATTATTTCTGTATTCTTATGACATAGATAGAAAGAGTCAAAAGTACTACATTAGGTGTGTTAAATTGTTTATCTACGTGGCATAATAACATACATAGCCTTTTGCAATTTTATTTTTCAATTTATTTCATTCAATATTTATATTGTTTTGGAAATTCATTCTTAATTACATATGTATATATATGAAATAAATTCATTTTAACTTCTATGTAGTAGGCCACTATAGGAATATGTCATGGATTATTTCTCCAGTTTTAGCTATCAGAAACAACGCTGCAATGGACATCCAGGTATGTGTTCCAAGCACACGTTGTGCATTTGCCCAAGAGTTTCTGAGGGGTATATATTCAGACGTGGAATCCCGGTGGTAGGATAGACATGTTTCTAACAGATATTGTCAAATTGCTTTCTAAGTATATATTTTAAACTCTACATCTCCACCAGTACTTGATATCGCCAGACTTTCCAATTTTTGCTAATCTTACGGATATAAATTGGTATCTTGTTTTCTAATTTGCATTTTCCTGATCCCCAGTGAGTGTAGACATTGGCCATTCAAGTTTCTCTTTCGGGGAATGGAATTGCTTGTTCTAATCTATGCCCTTTTTTTTCCTCTGGAGTTGATTTTTTGTAAAGTGATTTATAGGAGGTCTTTATATTATTTTAGATAGGAATCCTTTGTTAGTTGCACGTGTTCTAAATATCTTCTCCCAGTCTATGGCTTGTCTTTTGACGCTATTCATAGTGTCTTTAATTTTTTTTATTATAAAAATATTCAACCAACCACAAAAGTTGAGAACAGTATAGTGAAACCACATTATCCATTGCCCAGACTCAACTATTAACAAGGTTTTGTCTTACTTGCTTTATCTCTGTCTTTTCTTTCTTATATTTCTAATAATGGATTTTAAAGCAAATCTCAGACTCTATGTCATTCTACTCCTGCATACTTCAGTAAGCATCTATACAACTATGGACATTTTCTTATGTAGTCATCATGCCATGATAACACCTATCAAAATTAACAATTATTCCTTCATATCACCTAATGTATGGTGATTTTGGATACATGGAAGTTTTTAATTGGGTCTCCATTTTTCTACTGCAAAACGTAGCTGTACTATTGCCTGGCCTGGATCACGATAGCTGTCCTTCCTCTGTGAGGACCACCCAAGGGTGATTCCATTTCTGACCCATCAACAGGTCCTTGAGGAAGTGGACAGTCCTGTCTCCACCTGGGGAAGACATGAGATGCTCGCTTCAGTCTGTACCTCTGGCAGCTGCTGACAAAGCCTGTGCCCACTTGAGTCACTATCTCTCTGACTCTTCTGTTAGAAAGTAGCCATCAACCTCAGAGAGGATGGTCTGCCTGCTGCTTCCCTGGGAGGCCAGGGCGAGTTCACACAGCAAACTCCTCATGTCCCTTAGGGAAGAGGGGAGCCAGAGACACTCGATTAGAGTCAGGATGGTTTGGGGGATGGGCTGGGGTTAATTCCTCTGCCGTGTTCTCAGAATGAGGAAAACAGATGTTTACTGGGGAAAAGAGAAGGCTTGAAGACAAATACAAGATAGGGCTTCTCAAATTTGTGTGTTCTATGAATCCCTCTACTCAGGGAAAACGAGTCTGTGGATTTCTCCCTATACTGCTTAACATGGTGAAAGACCCCGAGTCACTGGAATTAATGGGAAGACTGGAGCAGCTCCGGATAAGACACGAGTGAGGTAATGTCTGGTTTTTGTTAAATATCCCAAATAGATTACTCACTCTTGCTAGATAAAAGGTAAAGACACTGTCATGTTATAAACAAAAATCCTGCTGAAAACAGGGTCCCCGGTGGTCCCTGGACTGGGGACCCTCCGTGCTGTCTCCAAGACCAATGGCTCTGGGGTCACAGGTAAACCTGTCCCAACAAGGAAACCAGTCAGCTCTGTGACCTTGGAGAACTCCCTCTCACTAGGACCCCAGACCACCAATGAGAGCGGGGACGCTCGCATTAGAGGAAGCCAGGAAGAAGGTCCATGTGGAAGGTCCCTCTCTGTGTCTTCAGGAGAAGAGCCAGCCTGGCGTAGCCAGAGAGTCGGGCCCAAAAGGCTCCACTCAGCTCCTCTTACCCTCTGGGCCTTTGATTCCGTGCCTGGAGCAACTCCTTCCTTTAAAGCACTTTACAGTTTGCAAAGAACTTTCCCACGCCTTGTTTCAATTGATCCTCACAAGAACCTTGCAAGATAAGCAGATTATAGTGAGGCTCAGATTGATTAAGTGAACAGGCAGGGCCTCCAACCAGGAACGCGGACGCCAAGCTCATGGTTTGTTTCTCTCCACCCTCTAGAGGGTTGGATAAAGGTTCCTAGGCAGTTTTTATCTTGACCCTACAGTCTAGGTTTCAGAAGCCTGGGAGAGGCAGAGAAGGAGCCAGGGACTCACTTACTGGTTCCTGGGGTTCAGCCCTGGCACTCTTTCACATCAATGCACCCCCGCGCCACCCTCCAGCCAGGGCACCCTCTCTCTTGCCCTCATCCAAGGCCGTGGGCTGCAGTGCAGAGAACAGACCGGCTCGTGGAGCCCACAGCTGCCCAGTGCTGGCCTCGGTGGCAGAGCTTCTGTTCTGCAAAGAGACTAATGGAGTGCCAGGGAAGTGAACCGATCTCCCCAAGGATTCCTGCTCCAGCCAAGTCATCCCACGCTCTCTCTGGCTCTCTGCGGTAGGGTCCTTGAAATTTCATTTCACAACTTCCTGGCAGATAGCGGGGCAGCGGATGGCAATCCCGTTAGTGTTGGCCAGGCTCCCAAACAGGCCGAGTGCAGCTCGCTCAGCTGCAGACATCCTCCTCCCCCACACTGTTGCCAGGCCGGCTGGCCTGCAATCTTGGTGGCGAGCTCTGAAACCTTGCCAAAAAGTCTCTCTGGGACATGTGAAGGCAGCTCTTGATAGTGAGCAAACAGCAAGGCTGACGCTCTCCCTGCACTGCTACCCCCGAGTCTGGCCTCTCCCCTCAGTCAAAGGATGCGAACCCTCCTCACTCACCTCCATCGACGGGCTCGTGCTCTGTGCAGGGCCTGCTCCCAGAAGCCCTGAGACACTGACAGGCTCCCAGGAGCTGGAAGCTCAGCCCCTCCAAGGCCTGGAGGAACCCGGTCTGCGCTGCAGAATGTTCATGCTCAACCCATCAGATCACACCGTCAGTGAAACGTTCCCTCTAAGGAGCTCACTATGCTTCTTGGTGCTCTGAGGTCCTCCTTGTGAGAAAATCACCAGCCTCCTAAGGGGTCACAAGGCTTTAGTGATCAGGAACTAAATAGCAGAGAGATACGGTGAGTCACGTGGAGGCAAAACAGTAGCACAGCAGTACCTGCTGTTATTAAAGTCAGACCTGCTATGATGAAAGTCAGCCTTCTCCACCGTCTCTCAGCTTTCCGTGCTATTGGCCAGGGGGTGGGAGAAAGTAGAGAGAAAAATCACGATTACCCTGTGTGTTGTACTTTACCGTTTGCAATGTATTTTTTGAATATAAACACATTTTAAATATGTTATTTCTCTCAATTGTCAGAATAAAACTGTGTCTGGTTCATAGTAGATTCCAGTGTTGGTTTCTCTTCCTTTCTCCCCATTAGGTTGAAAGGGAAGATATTATGATCTCCACTTTACAAAGGAACAAACCAAGGCCGTAACACTCAAGATTCAAAACATATATTGCAGTGGACCCTACACTCAAATATAGCTTTCCCGGCTGCCATGTCCAGAGGACAAAATCCTGGGGTTTATACACGACCCCTTCCTTCCTCTTAAGTCCTTCACCCAACTAGTCCTGTGGACGCTACAGCTTCTAAAATATCTCAAATGTGTACCATCCTCACTATTCCTGGCACAGTTCAAAGCACTGTGAATCTGCTAACTAATCTAATCCTCATAAAACACTAAGGTGATCATTATTCTCACTCTACAGACGAAGAAACTGATGCACGCAGCAGTTACATGATTCACCCAGTCACACGGCTTGTAAGCGGCAGAGCAGGAATCCGAGCCCAGGCCCTTGACTTCTGTGTCCCATCAGCTCTCACTTTGTTGTCGGTGCCTGCCTATCTCAGACATTAGTCAGTAAGCCCTTGAAGGCAAGAACTGTCTTTTTATCCTCATTCCTGAGCCCTAAGCACCATGTCTAGTACACAGTGTATGCTCAATAACTATCTACTGAATAAAGGCACGGGTAACTGGAGGGGGGAGAAGCCAGAGGAAGGCCATGCTGTTTAAACCTCTCAGAGCTCAAACTGGTCAAGAATTTTTTCCTCTGCTTTTACTCAAGATATTAAACAGCCACGAAACAGATCATTGATTCCAACCTACTCCATCCTCTGATGGACTTTGAGCAACCAGCCCTCCCAAAGGCAGTCCTAGCTCCGAGGACCTGAGATAGAGCTCCCGGGTACCTGGCCTGAGGTGTGACTTCAGTCTCCCAGGTTCCCCACAAAAACTGGACATCTGACCCGCAGCTTCGAAGCTGATGTGCTGAGGTGGAATCGAACAGTGAGGACTTCCCAGAACATCTGAATCAGCTGCTCAGGTTGGGACAGAGCCAGAACATGCGCCCACAAAGGGTGGCAAGTTGCAAATTGAGGTCTAATAGGAGCCATCTGGTCTGGAGAAATGGCCAACGGGAGGGATGGGGGCCTGGAAACGGCCCAGAGAGCGTACTTATCTGGGGGTAAATGATGAGTCAGCTCTGCCCAGAAATGAAAGTGTTTAATGAAGTCCTTTGCAAGAGGCCCCACAGAATCTCTTCTTGGGGTAGCCAGAGTTGGGTAACGCCATCTAAAGGTTAGCCTTGGCTTCTGAGTTTTAAAATGCCTGGTCCCCAGGGTAGCATGGACGTGGGTGAGCATGGAGATGGGTGTGGCAAACCTCCACTGCTGTCTTGGGGGCAGCATGAGGTGCAGAAAACCATTTCACAGCCAGACAGATGCGCCAGGCAAGACGTGACAGAAGTGCTGGGCTGGCCGGGGGCCAGAATTGTCCCCTAGAATTGAGAGCTTAGCCTTCGTCCTGGAGGGCAACTTTCTTCTGTATCTTCTTCTCTCAGCTGTAGTCACTGTTGCCTGTAAAAAAGCAAAAAGCAAACCAATTACCAGGTCTAATTATCTCCCTTCAGCCTCCTCCTGGCAGCAGCTGCCGAGGCTCTTGCCAAAACGCCGCTTCACCAACACCCTGACACAGAAGCCCCAAGTCAGCGAGGGGGAGGCTCGGCTGGCCCCAGCAGCTGTGAGGCTTCCCAACACCCAGACAGGGCACAGGAGCGCCACGTCGGCAGCTTCCAAGCGGTTCTCTCCCATGAGCCCCCTTGGCCTCCACATCTGGACAGATGGCCACCTGGAATTGCACCAGAAAATGACACAATGGCAATCAACAGCCACTTGCCCTAACTGCCACCCCCATCCCAGGAAGTGAGGAGGCCTTTGAAGGCCTGTCTCTGCTTGTAGAGGGAGCTCCAAGGTCAGGGTGAGCTCCGCGGCCACATCTGTCTGGGCTTGCTTAGAGAGGAGCCAGGGCCTCCCAGAGGAGCGGAGCTGCGAGATGGGCTGGGGGCTCTCAAGGGGACACTGGGAAGCTCTCTGGGCACCCGCAATTCCTGCACTCCCAAAGTCGTTGTCCTACCCCTGTCTACGGGTGAGCCTCAGACCTATTGCTCTCTTCCTGCCTAGGACAAGAGGCCGCTCCCTCCTGAAGGAGGTCCCGAGCTGCCGAGGCTCTCTCTGGACTTGCACAATAGTGAGTCAGCTTCCAGATCCCCAGTAGCCTCAGGGGCCTGGACTCGAGTGAGCCAGGAGTGGGGGAAACCAGGCGGCCATCTCCTCTGCCTCCAACCTTGCAGCCCCAGGGGAAGAAGGACCAGGTGTGTCCGCCGGGCAGTTATGAAACCTGAGAAGCTGGAGTGGCTTTGGGCTGGTGCTTAGAGAACAGGCGGGTATTGTGGGGTTGGGCGCAGAGGGGGTATAGAATACCCATCAGTTCACGCACAAACACGATCCCAGCCTGCGCAGAGGGAGGGAGGGCCTTCCAGGAGACTGCTGCTTTCAAACTGGAATGGAAAAAGGAAGGTCGCCCCTATGAGGGTGCTGGTGACCCACACCCAGAAGAAAGGAGGCCCTGGAGCCAAGATGGATGTTTCCCAGCCCTCACCCCTATCATATGACAGTTCCACAGACCTCAACTCACATGCCTGAGACAACATCTCTGGGATACAGAAATTCCATTGGTCAGTGATGAAAGAAGAATGTTTTCCTGAACAGTTTGGTGGGGGTTAGTTTCTCCAAGCGTCGTCATGCTGGTCATCAGCAAATATTTACTGAGCAGGACTGTCAGCATGGTCCTGTCTGAGGTATTTGGTTACAAGGGTCAGGGCCTGCCCTCCCGGCCCCATATCCTGAAGACAGACCAGAACAGGTCGCAAAGCTTAGCAGGAGCTTGAGCAACCAGACACGCCCAGCTGAGACACAGAACACCTTATCTTTGTCCTGAAAACAAAAGCTTTGCATGTTTTACTATTTTTCCCTTTCACAGTGCCTGGAAGGCTGGAGAAGGTGAGAAGGGGACAAGAGCAAAGGAGAGAAACTGGGTGAGAGCACAATGACGCATGGAGAGAGTGACAATGGAGCAAGAGGCTGGTAGAGCTGGGGGACCACGGCTCCCAGAGCTGACTGGGGAAGGAGACAGGGCAGGCACCTCATCAGTCATTCTTTCCCCACCTGTCCTGCCACATTCACCCAGTGCGTTCAGCTGTTTCAGCTTGGTAGGTCTCCCTTTCTCCCTTCACTTACTGCCATGAAGGCTGTGGTTATCAGTGTCCTGGTTCCTGCAGCCCCGGTGGCCACACGAAGCTCCGAGGCCAGTCCCCTCACCCTGTGGCCTCTAGAAGGAATAAAGTCAAGACCTTCCTCACCATGTTTCTAGTCATCACCACCCACTCCAATGCCCTCTGTCCCAGCCAGTCATTCTAGGCCTCTCTGCCACTAAGATCACCATATTCCAGGTACTCCAATCTCCCCAGGGAAAGGGCTGCATCTGCTCCCTAAATGCTTGTCTGTGTCTTTGCTCACGCCCTCACGTAGTATCCGAAAGCCCGACCATGCTGTCTGTCATACTCTGACCTTTATCTTCAAGATCCAGCTCCTCCGTGTGGCTTTTCCTGATTGCTGCCCCCAATTAACCTATCCCTTCTCTGCTCAGCAGAATTTTGTGGCTTGATCGTAAACACCGCTTATTATAGTTAGTCGTGCATGCAGACATTGCCTTCTTCGTGCTATGTCCGCTCCCCCTCCCCTCACAAAACCAGGTGAGTGCCAGGTAGACGCTCAGGATGTGCTGATTGACTTGTTGGACTGAATAACAGAGGACACGACAGCTGTAATCAATCAGGAATCCACAGTCACCATTTCCCAGGCCACCGGGAGAGTTTCCACAGCAGAGCCTGCAGCTGAGCGGAGATGTCATCTGATTTATTAATTAACGCAAACGCCGTTCATCCAATGCTCTGGGGCATGGTTAAAAAAAATCCAGAACATTTAGAAAATGATAAAAATAACACTTATTAGCTTAGAAATAACTGACTTAGTCTCAGCCTTTTAGTCCCAGCATCGATCCCCTGTCGCCAGCCCCCAGCCCCTTGGTCTCCCCGACCCATGGGGTGTCCCCTTTTCCCACCTTCCCCACAGCGCTGCTTTGGTGATTACCAGAATTCCTGCCAGGGATTGCTAATTGGGTTAATGGAGTGACTGTGTAATTGTTCTCTCTCCCACCACACTGGCTGTTTTCCGACTACCTGCCTCTCATCTGTTCCAGGATCACTAATTTGCAACAACAACTTCCATTGTCGTCCACATCTGGGACTTTGGGGTTTTAAGTGAATCTCCCTAAGGCAGAGAACAGAAGATAGTGCTATTTTGGTTTGTCTCATCTACAAAGGGGCCATTCTCTGGGGTTTATGGGCAGCGTGGGGCTGCCTGGGTGAAGGGGAAATCTGAGCAGTGATGGGACCCAGGCCAGAGAGCAGCGTGCTCAGGAGGAGGGAGGGGAGCAGGAGGGGCTAAAATTCTGACCTTCTCTTCCCAGCTACTTGGGTTTGCATTTCATTTTAATCAGTTTCAGATGAAACTGACAAGCTTGGAGCCTTGGAATGGGTGCCCGCGCCTTTGGCCTCTGGTCTCTCTTAGAGTAGAACAGGGAGCTGCCGGGTTGGGCAGCGTCTGACCTGGCCTGACCCAGCTTCCCCCAGGAGGCAGCATTGAGGGTGGCATGTCCCATCTCCAAGGCTCAATCAGAGCCTGTTCTCTCTCAACACCCTTGGAAAAAAACAAGGCTTTTTTCCTCTCTTGTTTTTTGAGGTGTGTTTATTCTGCTTAAATCTGTTTCAACTTAAAGGGGTCATTACCTGCCCAAAGTATGGCAATGTCAGCATTCTTGAGGTGGGGTGCAACCAGGACAGGGAGAGACAGCCTCCCGCTCTGAGATGCTCCTGGGGGTGTCTTTGTCGTGGGGGTGGCATGAGGGTGCTAATGGGCTTTGATCTCCCAGCCCCCTTCAGTGTGGGTCTGGGAGGGGCTCTGTTTCTTAGGGTGACTTCTATCTCTGCCTTTGCCCCTCCCTCCCCACCTCCCCATCCCCTAGCCTCAAGGTCATCCTTATTGTCTCTAGGCAGCTCCAGGGCTTCTGATCACAGGATCCGGGAGTGCCCAGCGTGGGTCCCAGGGGGTCAGCTCAGGGCTGTTCCCACGGACACACCGGGAAGAACTGTTCTGGGCACTTCATACAGTCCCACCTAATATTGTATTGTCTTTACCTCCTGAGCTCCTGTCCCCCGCCCCCCAAACATCTGGGAGGACACAGCATGCTTAGACCTGCTCCCATCCCCAGTGTGCTGTGCCCTGTTGTGGTAGGTGCTCCATAAATGCTTATTTCTGCCTTCAGTTTTGATCTTTTGTAAACTCGCCTTACCCCTGCACCGTCCTCTGCTCTCGTTAGTGTGTATGCTGCCTGTGCACATCTTTGTTTTCACTGTAGCACTGTAGCGCATCGGTAGAGAGACTAGCTCAGAAGAGGTGCTCGATAAATAATTAATGAATTAACTTGGATGGGAAGTTCCTGCCAATCAAATAAGAGCCAGGCTTTCTCTGGAAGGAAGTGTTGAGACTGAGCAAAAGGTAACCAAATGCACCAACACCTTCCCCAGCTAAGCTAGGGGCGTGTGCTCCGTGGGGGACTGGAAAGGCTGGAGTTGGCCCTCAGGGACACGTCTCCATGTGACTATCTGCACACCACTGCCCTCCACTGGACGCCAGGCCAAAGCTGCCCCAGACCTGCATGTATGTCAGGATGCCCTCAGGTCTCCTTCCCTCCCTACTCTGGACCCAACTACTGGGCAGACCGGTTTCTTGGTTGGCTTCTCTCACCAGCTTTGTTTCACCCTGACTGCTTTGCATTGAATCCACGAAACCTGGGAAGGTAGGAGAGGAACAGCGGCTTCTTTGACTCCTGGCACATAGTGGGTTCCATCAATACTTAATGCATGAAAATCAATGTAAGGACACACAGCTCCTGGCACGGCAGCAGCACTGTCGACCATTATTATGATTATTAACATGAGAATCCATTTAAGAACTTACACCTGTTCTTGGTCTAGAATAGCTACGGCGCTGACCATTTTTACCAGACAACTAAGGAACACAAAGAGGGACAAAAAGCTTCAAGCAGAAGACTCCAGACACAGTTAGTCATTTCTCTATCTTAAAAACAACAACAACAACAACAACAAAACCTTCTTCCACTAAGGAAAGATAAAGGAAGGGGAGAGTAAACACATGTGCTTCCAAATCTTGTGGATTTTTTTTTTGTCTGCAAAGATTACGTTTTCTGTCTTCAATTATAGGTATTTGTGAATTTGCCTTATTATCTCTGCCCCTGACCTCATTAGCTTATAAGCACTTGGCCCACTACAATGACTGGCCCTTAAAAGTTCTGCAACACATAATTATTGAATTCCTGGCAGTCAAATATAGTATGAGTGGCTAATAATTTGCCAATGCCAACAGTAAAATAAGTAAAAAAGGAGACATCGCACTTATTGCTTATAAATTGCTTCAATTTGCTGAGAAATTGTTTTCATCTCCCCAAATTGAATTCTGGGGTTAGCCCAGGGCCTGGCAGGCATTTGGATATATGAAGCTGAAGCTCAGGGAAGAAGTCTGGACTAAGCAGAAATCCAGGAGTCACACGGCATGGCGGTGGAAAGGAAAGTCTAGAGTACGGCCCAGGGAGAACTATAAAGGGTGAAACCAAAGGCTGGACCTCAAGACCCAAGCTGAAGGATCAGGGAGGGCAGAGCAGGCCAGGACAGAGTCAGAGCAGGAAAAGCCAGAGCGGTAGAAGGAGGAGCGAGGAAGAATGGGGTCAAAAAGCCAAGGGCCTGTGGAGTTTTAAGGACAAAGGGATGGCCAGTGGCCTCAAATGCAGCTGAATAATCTAGTCGAGAAAGGATGGAGAGCAGTCTGCTGGATTGGGCAATATGAAGGTGAGTAGTGACCTGTGAGAGCAGTTAGTGACCTTGTGAAAGCAACTTCAGCTGGGGGGTGGATTGAGTGGAAGACGCTGGTGGGAATGTAATCGAACGCGAGGCAAGGACAGGAAAACAGTTACAGGAGGCAACCAACCCAGGCAAAAGAACAAAGGCTTTTGGTTTTGACCTTGTACCCAGGCTCTGCTCCACCAGTCCAGCTTCGCCATTGCCACTAGGTACATTTTCTAAAGGTCAAAATTAATCATAGCACTTCCTGTTGTGATTAACATCTGCTGGCTTGCCGCTTGCTGGACAATGGAGAGCAAAGTCCAGTGCCGATCTCTTAAGTAAAATTTCTTTCTCAGACTTGGCTTCTTTATTACCTATAAACGAGAGTGGCACAGGTCCATAATCCCTTATCTGAAATCCTTGGGGCCACATGCGTTTTGGAACTCACAGCTTGTTGGATTCCAAAAGGTAATACGATGTGCATGCCATATATTTCATAATACCACCCGCAGAGGCTGGGCTCCACCCTGTAATCAAACACACCAAGTGGGACAAATGAAGACTACAAACAACTTTACTAAAGGTCAGGTCAAGTTTTCCACCAAAGGAGTTGCCAAGATACTTTTGTTTATCAGATCTTTCAGAATTGTGATAAGGGCTTGTGGACCACCCTGGCAGGGTTGTTTTAATGCTCAAATGAGATATTAAAAATGAAGCCAAAGGATAGCCACAAAGGGTGCAGAGGCCCTGCTTTTCTTGACTGGGAATGAAAGGCATTTTTCTTTTTCGGATGCTGTGCATGTGTGAGCAATTTATAAAGGGTACCCTCTGCCAGCCTTTGGGAAGCCACGTTTCCACGGCTGGAAAGAATAACCTTGTAGCTGGGGACATTTGAATGATCAAGGGTAGTTCCTCTAACTTCTTCCTCATCTTGATTTCTCTCTTTAAGGGCTGGGGCTGGGCTAGGCTCTGGGATGCTAGAACTCAGAGTGATGGGAACCCTTGCAATGGAAATCACTTCTTTACTGTCACCCTCCCTGCTAAGCTGTGATCTCTATGAGGCAGGGACGAGGTCTGTCTTGTTCACTGCTGGGTCTCCAATGCCTGGCACAGCTCATGGTGCTTGCCCAGGGTAGGCACTCGATATATGTTTTGCTGAATTGAAATGATTTAATCTCTTAGGTTCCTCATTGTGACAGAAGGCAAAGATAGCATTGTCTTACTGTCCAATGTTTTCACCTTCAGGCAAAAACCCATCCTCCCAGAGGGTCATTCTTCCCAACTCCGCCCTCTCTGCCTCTCACTTCTGTTCTTTATGGCTCCCCAATCCCATTCTCATTAACTAAGGATTTGGGCCCCTGGCTCATAGCCTTCTCCTTCATCCTAGCCCCTTTCTTACTCATAACTGACTTTAATACTAATATGGACAACCCAGCCTCACCAGGAACGATTGCTTCTCCGAAATGTTAAACCCCAACATCTTATCTACCCGTAACTTCAGTTCCTCCTTCCTATTATAGTACCTCCACATTTCCTTGATATCTGACCCTTTAACCTCTCTCTTTTGACCCAATTTATTAGCCACCTATCTAGCCCAGATCCCAGGATTTCCCAGGCTGTTTCCCTGGGAAGCCTCAACAAAGACCTATCTGCTGATGACTCCTGGAGTTTGCGATGGAGATACCCAGCTAAGCTACCAAACATCTCCACCTGGATGTCCCAAAGACACTTCAAGTTCATCAAGTCCAGAACTGAATTCATTGTCTGCCCCAATCTCCCCCCAACCTGTTCTTCGTCCTTTTCCCATGTATCAGTCAATGGCACCACTATCTCCACTGGTCTGGGAGAAATTCTACTCTTTCCTCTCCTCCATACCCCACGTCACTCGCCAAGTAAATCTCCATCTGGATCCCCTCTCCATTCCTAAGCCAGTGCCTTAATTCAGATCCACGGCTCTTATTCCTCTATTACTGCACAGCGTCTTAAGAGGTCTCCCTGCCCCCAGGCTTGCACCACTTCATTCAGTCTTGGTGCACAGCTAGAGCCCTAAAAAGTGCAAATCTGCTTAAAGGCCTTCAACGGACAGGAAAAACTCATCTATAGCAGCAGAAAGCAGGTCAGTGATTGAGGGCAGGGTTGGGGTGGGGGAACTGAATATAAAAAAGCATGAGAGAACTTTCTGGAGATTAAGAAATGTTCTATATCTTGATTGTGGCATAGTGGGTATACCCCATGGGTATATATACGCTTATACATTTGTCAAAATGCATCAACCTGTACATTTAAAGCTGGTGTGTTTCATTGTACATAAAATACACCTCAATAAGCTTAATTAAAAATACCCTTCTATGTCACCTCATTGCCTGGAGAACAAAGTTCAAATTTCTTATCCCGGCATCAGGGATGCTATGACTTCTTCTCTTGCTGCTTCTCTTCCCCTACTCCCCAGACGCCCGCCACATTAAATACACCACAGATCAAAAATGGCCTAGATGTCCTGCCCTCCTTGCCCACCTGTTGAACATCCATCATGTTTCTCGAGCTTCCGCTTGTGCCATCACTATTAGCATCCCCCCGACCCACAAGTGATCGTTCTTCCTTCGTGTTCCACTGACCCGACATAAATGTCTATGATATGTCTTCGGTTGCAGTCTTGAATTTATGTCTCCCCTCTCTTTCACTAGGTTGTGTGACTAAGCCCTGTTGTCTCCATTCTTGTATCTCCAGCACTTACCACTGAGCTGCTTCATCTTTATTGAAGGGACTGGGCTTTACCCTTGCAGTCCAGGCCGAAGGACAGCGGGACACAACGCCCCCTGCTCCTCCAGTCCTAGAGGTGGCGCTGTGGCAACCTCCATCTATCGTCCTGCTCTCGACTGCTCTGGGCCCGCTCCCAGAGCCCCACGCTCGGGGCTCCGCCCCCTCCTGGTAACATCCCTCCTTCCCATTGGGCGAAGGCGTTCCGGGCTGTCCAATGGGACGAGGCGTTGGTGCGAGGAGGCGCCACCATCTTTGGGCGGCTGGGGCTCTGTATCGGTTGGTGGCGGTGGGAGGTAGGTAGAGTGGTGCAGGGTCGTGACGCCTGCGGTTCCTGGCCGTGCCTCCCACTCCGTCCCGCCCGGTCCACCATGCCGCAGTACCAGACCTGGGAGGAGTTCAGTCGCGCGGCCGAGAAGCTCTACCTCGCCGACCCCATGAAGGTAAATCGCCGGCGAGGCCGCTGCCTCTGTCCCCAGCTCCGGTTCAGGATGTCTTCCCTTCCGTCCGCTCGGCCTCCGGAGCTTCTGCAGCACCCTGGCGGGGGCGGGGGAGCGATGCTGGGAGTGAGCAGAGACGGACCCCGCCGAGTTTGATTGTTTCTACTGTCTCGTCCCTGATTAACGGCGGGGAGGCTGTGAAATGGGCCAAATCAGGTTCATTTCTGCGTGCTAAGCAGCTCAGCAGTCTGCCGTCCCCCGCCCCCAATCCCTGAACTCCCCTAGCAGTTTTGGTTGGTTTACGTGTCTCTAAGGGCAGGGCTCCTCCCCCTGCAGCTTTGGCCTCCCGTCCCTTAGTCGTCTTGGTGCCCTTTACCCGTACTACCGGGGTAAAGGTATCTTAAAGTGTAAAATAAAACGGTGGTGGTTTTTTACCACCGTCGAGACGTTCTTGTAGGACCCCAATGTGGAGGCATCTGCACCACTTAGCATAGTGGTTCTTAATCTTTTGGAGGTCAGAGCCCTTTTGAGAATAAGAGAATGCCTGCACCCTTTTCTCAGAAAAATGCAATTAGATGTAAATGTTTGCAAGCAATTTTAGGGGGCCCGTGGATCCCTGGGATTCATTCATGGCCTCCACGGAAATTATCAGTGGATGCCAGAGGCTAGCTCATTATTAAAAAGCAAAGAAGTCCAAGTGATGGGAATTTAGCATTCAGGTCTTGATTTTTCTTCCTCTGGAATTTTTGCTTATTGTCATGTGTAAAAATTGTTTGCAGAAGCTCCTTGGTAATTTAAAATGCTGCTAGCTTTTTAGATCTAGATAAGCAACAAGAAGCTGTAAAACATTCTTAGTTCCATTCTTTACAGTAAAATTTGCATAATAATAAATGATGAGATGAGTTAGATGTTTTTGAGATTGAGTACTTTGTTGATGACATGATGTCTGGCTTCTCCATTTAGTTGACTTCCCTTGTTCATAGGGCCATTTTTTTCTTCCTTCAAGCAATGTACCAGGAGAACAATACAGGATTTTTGTCCAGAAGTACCCACAGTGTAAACTAAAAATCTTTGAAAATGTTGTAAAGAATATATACATTCACTTCAAGAGTAATCATATTTTAAGAGCGTGGTGGTAGTGGTAGGGAAAAGGAAAATAAAATGGTAATTACAGAGCATTGCTATGAATAAAAGCATGTCTAGAACAGGCAGGAGAGGGAGAACCTTTCAGCTCTTTACCCAATTAGAAAATTCCAGTGGCCTAAAAACTTCTGCTTCCTCATGATAGTCTTCTGCTGGTTTTGGACTCTGATTTTTTGATAGGGAGGTGAGGGGATGAGTGAGGAAAGGAAGCTTTCCTAACAGTTTTATTGAGTGCCTTCTGTATGACAGACATTTTATGTATATTTACTTTTATAACTTATGCGAACAATTAAGACAACCCCTTAAGGTAGATGAATAAATAGTCTTAGGTACGTTAAATGATTGCCTGGTATCTAAGACATTAAGCTAAAATTTGAACCCAGGTCTGTAAAACCCAAGCCTGTGCTGTTCCTACCAGTCCATACTGCCTGCACTGAAAAAGAAGAGAAATTTTGTCAGAAGTCTTTGGAATCTGTTTCACAGAATTCTCGGTTTTCTCTCCCCTGTCCATTGACCCGTTGATTGTGCCCATCCCCTGTCTGCGTTTGCTGTAATTGAAGGTGATTTTACTGCTGAACCGTCTGTTAACCTCTTAGTTGGTCTGTCTGCCTTTTTAATCCTTCCGTTACTTCCCCCACTATACTCTAAAACATAAGAATTGACTTCTCTCAGTTTTCTGGTTCTTCACTGGTTGCTGGCTGAAGTCCAGGCTCCTGGTCCGCAGTCTGAGCCTCTCCAGTCTTTCTGGCCGTGTCTCCCACCGTTTCCACTGTTCTCAGCTCCAGTCTCACGAAGCTACGGAATTCACCATCTCTTCCTTCAGACTGCTTCTTCAGCCTTTCTCCTACCTTCTTCCTTCACAGAAAAAAATGTGTTTCCAATGCTACCTCCTTGAAGCCTTTTCACACTTCCCTTCCCCCAATGTAAATTACTCGTTTTCTCTTTTAGTATTTTACCTGTATATACCTTTATAGGACTTAATTCATGCTGTCTTGTGTTTTGGTTATTTTGGTTTGTGGAATTCAAAGTTCCTAAGAGAGCGGGAGCCTTGATTTCTTTTTCTCTCTTTGTGGCATCTGACATGGTGACTTAGGTGCCCCCTGAGTTACAAAATGGACCCTCTTATGGTACCATAGACTTTTTAACTCTCGTTTCTCCTAATGAAGCCAGTCAGTATTCTTTTAACTGAGAGCTAAAACTTTGCATAGTTGTCAAACTTAGTACATTTTAAAGTTTCGGTTTCTTTTTGTTTCTGGAGAACTAAATTTTTTTAACTATGTACAACTGAATTTAATAGCTTAATAACAGAGTTAGGTTGCCTCAAGATAATTAACCTAGTTGTTATTATTTCTATCTACTTAAGTGCTTGCTGAGTTCCCTTTCCTTCCTCACCAACACAAATCTCATAGGTTCGTGTGACTTTTTTTTGCAATCCCAGGAGCGCAGCGAGCATAGTGGGAGAAGCTGGCAGTTACAGCTCTGATAGCCCTTTGTATTTAGTTTTCAGAATTGTCTTGAGGCTTCTGGTGCTACATTGTGACCATTTGAAAATTATGTTCCTGTTTCTTCTGATGCTACATTGTAACCATTTTAAAATTATGTTCCTGTTTTGGCTTATAGATACTTAGCCCTTTTTAAAACAGCTAGCTCAACAAGATTTGTTTATATTAGTTAGCAAAAAGCTGACTCTGCTTCAATGTGCTATTTTCCTCTTCTTCTTCTTCTTCTTCTTCTTCTTCTTCTTCTTCTTCTTTTTGCTGAGGAAGACTCACCCTGAGCTAACATCTGTGCCAGTCTTCCTCTATTTTGTATGTGGATTCCCACCACAGCATGGCTGATGAGTGGTGTAGCTCCGGGCACGGGACGTGAACCCATGAACCTGGGCCGCTGAAGTGAAGCGTGCTGAACCCAACCACTATGCCACTGGGCCAGCCCCTGCGATACACTGTTTTGAATCCATCATTTTAGGAAATAAAAATAATGTTCCTGAAAGTTGTATACTCTATTGGGAGATGTCTTCTTTTACTGGAATATGCTAATATCTAAATCATTTTCTTGGCTACCTAACTCTAGAATACTGAACGACAATAAGTATTGTGTGGCATGGCAGTCAGTATAGGAGTTATTCTAGATTTGGAAAAGTTGGTGACGGAGACTTCTTTTCAAGACAGAATTCTGCTTTTATGTAATAATGCATCATGTTGTGCCATCATGATAAAGACGTGGTTTTGCTTCATAGTCTGAACTCACCTCCTGAGAGCCATGGAGAGTGGAGAGCCTGAACTGCGACTGCAGCACTGTTTCCTGAGGAATGGATTTGGACTTAACTAGCCATTTCGGCTATTTCCCCCCTTCTTTTCCTATCATTGCTCTGTGGCTAGGAGTGTGGGTACTGTAGGGGAGGAAAAACTTTCTCCTGTACCCTCTTAGGTTTAATGGCTGGGGCCCTGCAAATTAAACTGACAAAAGACAGATTAACAAGAGGGGAAAAAAGCCATTATGCACATATGATTGCGAATTCATAAAGAAATGTGACTTGAGGAGGCTGTTAGAAGTTGGAGTCTATATACCATCTTAACAAAGGGTGATAAAGTGTGGAAAAGAGGCTGGACAAAGGAAAGGGGGTTTTGGGCTTCTGGGAGTGGGTAAGTTGTCGGAAGGTGACTAGGAAATGTGCTATAAATGAGAGTTGTTTATTAAGATTTGTTACACAGATAAGAGCACTTCTCTTACCTCTTGCCAGTGAGGGAGAGGGGAACACCTTTGTAATTGGGAATTTTATACCACCTTTAGAAAGGTTAATTTGTGTCCTACTTTTAGCCAGAAAAGGCAGAGAGCTAATTGCCTTCAGCTCAAACCCGTCCTTTTGCCAAAATGGCATGTTTTGAGGTGGGATGCTCTGATCCTCTTTCGTGTATATTCTTACTGTCGAGAAGCACCAAACCACTTAAAATTAAGTTTGGGGAATTTTCATTATATCTCTTCAGACTGGCTACAAGTGAAATAGCCAACTTTTTCAAAAGTCTTTAAAAAAATAAATTGTAGCAATAGGAATGAACAAAAATGCTGGTTTCTGCCTCATTTAAATAATGATAAGTTTATAGTAAAGGTGCCTTTAGATGTTTTGGCTGTTAATTCTGAAAGAATCCTTTTTAGCCCACCTGGACTAAATTATTTATGAGAAATGTCTCCTGACTTCACTGTTTCTAAATATGTATTTTTATTTCAGGCACGTGTGGTTCTCAAATATAGGCATTCTGATGGGAGTTTGTGTATTAAAGTAACAGATGATTTAGTTGTAAGTATACACTTTTATTTGTTGCATACTTTCAAATTTGTTTGAGTTAATCACTTGTTTGATTTGTTATTTACATAGAATTTATGCAGATCACCCATTAGGATGCTTATTTTGCATTTCATTCCAAAGTCAGGAACCTCATTCTAGAAGCTACTTTTATAGGCCCTTGGGGAAATAATTTAAGTTGCTTCTTTTACGCAGTATGTCTCGTGTGGTTTAAAAATTGCTGTATTC